TTGGAAACCATGCCATCGAAATCAGATATAATGTCTCCGACTTAGCCCTTGTTTAATTCACATTATTTACATAAAAATGTATTTTAGAATAGTCTATTAATGAAAAATGCGTAATTAAAAAAATAAGAAAAAAATTGAATTTACATATAATATTATTTTATTAAAAAATGTGTGTATAAAATTATATCAAATTACTGTTTAAAAATATATATTTTTAAATAATATGAATCAAACAGCCCATTAATTTTATTTTGAATGATTTTCATTTAAATGTCTTCTAGATCATCCATCCCGGTTAATACCCATAACAGAACGCTAGTTAGTATTTACGAAAGCCAAATAATGTTGTTCGTGGAGTAATTGCAGATGTGTGATATCATGAGATGTAATAAAGTGTGTGAATTATGTATCGTTTTCATAAATACTTTGTTGTTAAATAACAAAATTATTAATCCTGATTTTATTTGAAGAGTCGATTAAAAGTGATTTCATTTGAAGAATCTAAACTTGCGAAAAATTGATGAAATAAAGTAATATAGTGCTTGTTTGGTAAGGATTTTATTAATTGATTTTTTAACTGTTAGAGATAAAGTGGGTCTTACCAGTGAGAGAAGAATTCAAAAATGACGATTAGAATAATGAAATGACGGTCAAAAAATTAATTTTAATTAGGTTTTAAGTTGTATCAAACATGCTCATTAACAAGTGCATCATCGTTTATCCGATTTAATTTCGTTGTGACAAATTTTTTTATCGATTATATCGGGGCCAGCCCACGATGAGCTCAAATTCATTCTCATACAGTGGACCTTCTACCCACATTCATTCACCAACCGTAGCTGGCCCAGCTCCTACTGTCCCCTGGCCCTGATCTCAAAACCCACATCCATTGTTGCTTCTAATGCAGGTTATTATCTGGGTAAATTACACCGGTGGTCATGTACTTTCAGAAAAAATTCAATTTGATGACCAAATATTAATTTGTCTCGATTAGATCACGAATTTCAATTTGCTTTCAAAATTTCACCTGTCTATCACGTTCAATAATTTATCATCTCTCGAACCAACAAGAATTACCTAGTTGGGAACACGTAGTCCCCATGATCGAAGGACAGTAAAAATTTTAACTTTTGACTAGGTATTCTTTCGTTTATTCATGGATACTCAATAACTTTGAAATATCATAACATTATATGTAAGAAGTACATATGACATGCTATACGTAGTAAAATCTTCATCGATATATAGTTGACAACATTCCCACAATCAATCAAGCTTCACTCATGGTCATTACACTTGTGCTTGACCATCTTGAAAATAATGTAAAATTACTAGTTAACACATAGGATTCCTCTCGTTTTTAATTTCACAGTTAACTAGTACTGATAACAAGCTTAGGCTAGTAATGGTACTTTCTGGATATTGTATTTTGATTTTTAAGGAAGGTACAATGGGTACCGTACTTCTTGTGAGTACAAAAAACTTATGAATTCCAATACTGATAGAAAATATACTTTTTAACTTCTTTTCAGATTTATTATGGCATTAGTTAGTAACAAAGTAAGCAACATAAATATGTAATTTATCGAAGCAAAGAATTAAATTCCTTCTTGAAATGAGACGAATGTATACATTTCCCTCATTAATTCTAATATTTAGTCTCTGTTTGAGCCGTATTTTTAAAAAAAAAAAATAGATTCTTAAACAGTAATTTGATATCATTTCAACTACACATTCTTCAATAAAATAATATTACACGTAAATTCAATTTTATTTTTTTAACCATACATCCTCTATCAATATATTATTTCAAAAAACATTCTTTCTAAATAATGTAACTCAAACACACACTTGGTAAAGTTTGATTATGCCTTTGATTGTATTCAAGATTCTGTCTGCTCAAAAATTTAGAAGCAAATTGAATGTGTTATTTTATTTAATATTGGTTTGTGATGGAATTACCAAAAAATAATCCAATATAGTTAAATTAATATTATCTTGAAACAAATATTGACCTTTTAATATAAAATACAAAATAATATTCGAGTCCTAAAAGCTCAAACGAGCATTTGATTCTTCGATTGATATTTTAAATGAGCCACCATTCAACGGGAGAAGCCTAAGAGTAGAACCCACACTAATTTGAGATTAAATCAATAACCAACGTATAAGGCTTGCGACTCTCTTTCTTACAAGGTTGACCTTTTTAAGGTAAAATTTTAAGACGCAATAAAGTTTCAAAACTCCGCAAATTTAAACAAATGATTGAGTCCGTCTAAGCTCCCTTTTGAGCTCCATTAATTCTCATTTTCCCACATTTTTTAACAGTGTTCAACCCATTAGCTTGCACACGTCTATGACCAACTCTGTCAAGGAATCCAATCACATGTTAGAGGTTAATAATACCAACACAACCGTTGGCAATACAATGACGATATCACCCTCATTCTAATTTTGACATTTACCCATTCCAAGTTGAAACAATACTAGGGGCAGTATTGTCATTGGTGGCCTCAATGGTGGTATTAAAGTATTATAGATCCATATTCAAAGGGAACACAGTACGATTGATTCTGTGGATCCCAACAGCATATAATTGTTGACCCAAGAAAATGAGATGTAATGAGAATTGAAGGGGACAAAAGAACAACTAGGTCCCATTAATATATAGGACTATGTTACATTTACAAATTTTTTTGATAAAATCCTTTACTCACTACTCACAATCGGAGGTAGAGGTCAGGAGCCGATATTTTTTAAATTCACGTGGAAATCATTTGTTTGTGAGAGTAAATAACCCATTTTGTACACATTTATTTGTACATATATATTCATCCTAATAAATACCACCATTCAAATTGATAAATCTATTTTCAAACGTATTAAAAAAAAGAGTTAATTATCATTGGTCCCGTTATGTAATCTCATAAAGATGCACCATCATACTCATCAAGATTGAGGTGACGGCTTAGGCACCCATTATTGAAGTATATACGTGGTTATGAAAGAATTTCCTATTTGAAGGGCGGGAGAGTAGGTAACCTGCTCTGCTTTATTTTAATAATTATGTCAACCTCGACATGCCATCAGTTTCTTAGTTTATCATTGTTATCATTTTTGCTCATGCTTAATTTTTTTTTAATTATCTTTTTGAATAGGTGTTTCGATTCAAAAAAACGACTCGAATGAAAATACAATGTACTCATAGAATTCGAGCGATCAAGGAGGACAACTATGGGTCATCTCTTTTCGAGAAGTCATACTTCTCTCATAGCATGTTGAAAATAATTTTATAATGAGAACTATTTGTATAATTGAGGAGGACATAGACTTTACATCCAGAATAATATGAAAAGATTAAAATGAGGTGGTTAAATATATAAAAGTTTTCGTCTATCTTATGCACGCAATATGTTAAAAATGACATTTAACAATGTTTAAGTTTTCTTGACAATTATCCCATGAATATCCTATATTATATTTTTCACAAAAGTTATAACCGTTGTAAATTTTTTGTGAAACTTGATTCTATAACAAATTTTATCCAAAATTAAATCTTTCACGATAATATCAAGACAGGATACTCGTGTTTATTTTTAATCAAAGTTCAGATATACGGATCTGATTTATTTTTAAAATGATTCATATTTTACTATCAAAATGAATAACTTCTTACGTTGGACGAGATCTTCCGATTTGGAGGGTACCAACCAATCATGGATATGAGGGTAATTTTTTACTTTTTCGCTACATACTGTGAAACGAACCATTTGACTTGTGACAGCATCATTGTCAAGATTTCGAATTTTAAAACTTGGAGACAATAATTGAAAGACAAACGTATTCACGCATCTCCACGTGATGACAATAATTGAAAGGGCAAAGCTCTTGTTTGATCCTTCATTATTTTCGAAATTTATTTTTTTCTCTTTTCTTTTCAATTATACATTTTTTAATAAAATAATATTACATACAAAAAAAATTTCTTATTTTTTAACCACACATTTTTCATCAATTTACTATTTCAAAATGTATTTTTAGCCAAAAATGGAACTCAAAAAGACACCTAATGTTATTGGCATAATGCAGGCTAGAACAGAGACGGATTTCAGGCTCAATAGCTTTTTTTAAGGTATTTTGTATTTTTTTTTTTGGTAAAAAACAAGTTTTTTTATGTGTAATTTTATTTTATTTTTTTTTTTTTGCGTAGTAGTCCGGTTTGAAATTTTGTAGCCCAATATTGAATTCAATTCTGAATCCGTCCCTTGGGCTAGAATTTATTAATACAGTAACAATTTTCTCATTTTAAAAATCAAACTACCCTGCGAACTTATTCATATTATAAGAAATAAATATTAAAATACTTAAGAGGACGAGCTTATCTTCAATTAATAAAAAGTAATATAAATGTTGACCTTTGCAAAAATATAAAGCTAAACGGTAATATATATATATATATATATAAAGCTAAACGGTAAAATATATATATATATATATATGATGCAATGCGAAACAAGGAATTTAAGTGAAAATCGTAAAAATATAAAATTTGAAATCCACCAAATTATGAAAAGAAATAACTTGCAAAATTTATTAATGAAAAGATGAACAAGAAAAATGAAATGACCCCATATTTATCATGATTTACATGAACATCAACTTAAGATAACTAAAATTAATGAAAACAAAATTTAAACAAACTAAATTTGAAAAGAATCTAAAATAAATTAAATAACAAAAATGGCACTAAAAATTTTAAAAATAGTTTTCGAGTCCTAAAAGAACTCGAATAGTCGAAATCTATCATACATCAAGACAAAGCGATGAGTATTATTCAGTTCATCGTCCTTTTTTTCGAAATGATATTATTGGCTCAAACTAAAATTCGAATGTTCTCTCACCACTATTAGCTTTCCCCATTCAACTATATGATCTACACCATTATATATCATGTGAACTTATGATAGAAGCTTAGTAGGCTCGTTATTAGACTAATAATCAACTCCTAGAGTGAATTGTACTATATAGCTTATTACATACAGCTGGTCCACACTCACAAGATTAGGATATAACAACTAATTTCAATCCATATAAATTCATGCATGTTGTATTTGTACATGACAGTCAAAGCAACTAAAAGAAGATAGAGGCTTTAGGACAAAAAAATGGGTGGATTCAGAAATTATGCGATTTTAATTTTGATTCTGGCAGTTGTACTAGGTTCTGCTGATGCTGATTTGAAGATGAATTTCTATGCCAAGACATGTCCAAAAGCTGAGAAAATTGTGCAGGACTATGTCAATAAACACATCCCAAATGCTCCATCTCTTGCTGCTACCCTTATAAGGATGCATTTCCACGACTGCTTCGTCCGGGTAACGTACTTGGCTTCTCTTAAAATTTCACTTTTAACGATGAAAACTTCTTGTCCCGATTTGAAATTCCATTGCTTCAACAGGGGTGCGACGCATCTGTTCTTCTGAACTTCACATCAAGCACAGGAAACCAAACTGAAAAGGTTTCGGTCCCAAATCAAACACTCAGGGGCTTTGATTTCATTGACAGGGTGAAGAGTCTGCTTGAATCTGAATGCCCAGGTGTTGTTTCTTGTGCAGATATCATCAGTTTGACAGCGAGAGACGCCATCGTGGTCACGGTAAGTTAGTCATATTTGACAGCGAAAGACGCCATCGCAGCTGGCTTCACTCTTCAAGCTCAGACTCATTTTTTACCATCAAAATGAGTAACTTGTTACGTTTGACAGGGTGGTCCGTTTTGGAGGGTACCCACTGGTCGTAGAGATGGGGTAATATCAAATGCCTCGGAAGCCTTAGCGCAAATCCCACCTCCATTTAGTAACTTCACCACCCTCCAAACGTTGTTTGCTAATAAGGGTCTTAATCTGGAGGACCTCGTCGTCTTATCAGGTTACATTATCAATTTATGAAAATTTTACATACCCAAAATATGTATACTATTGTCGGCGAAATGCATCAATCTTTAAAACTTTTTTGTCGACTGTTTTAGGTGCCCATACAATTGGTATTGCTCATTGTCCGTCATTTACAACTCGTCTCTACAATTTCACGGGCATGGGCGGTCAAGATCCATCTCTCGACAGCGAATATGCAGCAAATCTAAAAGCCAACAAATGCAAGTCGATTAACGCGACTACACAGGTTGAGATGGATCCGGGAAGCTTCAGAACATTTGATCTCAGTTACTACAAACTCGTCCTAAAGAGAAGGGGTCTCTTCCAATCTGATGCAGCCTTGCTAACAAGCTCCACAACTAGGTCGTTTATTACACAAATTGTTGAAGGGTCCCTTGGTAATTTCTACACTGAATTTGCCAAATCAATGGAGAAAATGAATCGTATTGATGTTAAGACCGGATCTACTGGTCAAATTCGAAAGCAATGTGCTTTTGTTAATAGCTAATTATGTCTTGCTTTTGTGGTAAGTTTATTTAATTATTTAATTTTTCTTTTTTGTTGCTTTTTGCTTGTGGGAATTGAATAAATTATTGTCAATTATTGGAACATTGTACGTTGTTCATTTGTATTACGTCATTTTATTCGTTGCTTTACGAACGACGCCGCGGTATATATACCCTGAAGAAAAATAATTAAACATCTATTTAATTTAGGTTAAAAGGTAAGTGTTACTTGAAAAGGATGAACATGACAAAAAATTGAAAAATAAAAGTAATTCGACCAAATCATTTATGTAATTATTTTCCTTCTCTTGCTGTTTCCCTCCAGTCGCTCCTTTTATAATGTTGTGCCATTTTATTTATTTACATGGCACAGAGTTCTCAATATTTACCTTTTCCTTTTTCCGTCCTCTTTTCCTCTTTGCTTTGTTCCTTTTTCTTTTTGACACCTAGTTTTCTTATCAATTATTCTCTTTCACTGTGATAGGTCCTCCTTTTTATTCTTATCAATTCTATATATTTGCAAACATATACTCAAAGAAATAAATAAAGCTTATGCCAGTAAAATTCATATCGATAACTGCAAGTTAACAACAACTAATAACGGGGTTAAGTGCAACACACAACAGTGTGAATGCGAGTGGATATGCGGAATGAAATTATAAAGGAAATTAAGGAAGAAAACATTGGATTCACATGGTGGCATGTGAATGGATGTCCCACGTACTGTGGGACGGTGTTTAAAAATGACATGCACCCCGTTTTCCTGGACTGAGGTCTGTCGGGTATGCTTTCCTAAACTCCAAAATCCTCCCGCATAAATATCTGTATATACTTATTATTATATACATACGAACTTTCTGTCTACTATTTTTCTCCATGTCTCTTCATACGAGGTTTATACATATATATATATACAGATCCGTATATATAAATAAATGTACGTTTAGTTTTGTGATTTCATCTTAAAATGTCTGTAGTAAAATATTTATAAGCTGAATATTGGTATTGGTATTTAAACAATGTGCAATTTTATCCTTAATAATGTTCTCTTATAAGATGGTACCATGACGTTTGAGAATGTTAGAATCTGTTTAATGTAAAATTTTAGATAATAGATTTTGTGAAATAGTATTTTTAGTTAAAAAGTAGAGAAATATTATAAATCCACGTAAAAATAATTTTATTGAAAAAAAATTGAATTTTAAAGAATTTTTACTAAATAGAGGTTGAATTTTAAAATATAAACTGTTCATTTGAATTTTAAATCCATCAATTGTTAATTTAAATTTTTTGAACTTCAATACGATATCAAATTTTAATATTTCACCTTAAAATTATAACATTATTAAATAAAATAATTCAAATAATCGTTAATTGATTTATTTAAACAACCTACAATTCTCCCTTTCAACAACACACGAACACATATTTGAGCTGCCCACGTTCGGCCATTAAGCAACCACATTGATAGAGTGGAAGTTAGTGCGGTTATTGTTTTAGTTAGCTGGCAAAAGCCAATTAAGGTTGTCTTTCTCTTTCAACAGGCTGTCAGATTTTTTTTTTTTTAATTTAATATTTTATTCTTCTCCGGCTCTGATCTACAGCAACCACGACTAGATCGAGCACCACCCATGCTATCCCACACACAAACAACCCGTCACATCACCCACCAGCACCACCAGGGACCACCTCCACCTGACTATCATTGCTAGCATCATCACCTCCGCAGACCACAGCCGAACCACAGATCTAAATTAAAACGAAACCATTGATTCTCAAGTTAAATCACTAGCATCATCACCGACAGATCCAAAATCAAAAGTAAAATCACTGGCATCATCGTCGACGACGAGAGATGCAGCACTAACGATTCTTCAGTGGAATCAAAGCTGCCTGCGCTAGGAGAAGAATCAGAAGCAACACCGTTTGAGGTGAAAATCAATAGCTAGCGGACAACGTACAACGGTCGCTTCGTTGCAGTGCCGTGAGAGACATAACCGCAGCATTGTTCACGCCACCACAGTGTCGTTATCCTGGCACAGAGCCTTCTAGAGAGAGAGATGGGGGGAGGGAAGGGGAGGAAATACGATTTAGGGTTTGGCTGAAGGGTTTTTATTTTTTTGGTAATTGATTTATTTAAATAATTAATAAAAAAATCTGATTTATGAAATATAAAACTTTCTATATTATTTGGGAATTTTGAATACTTAAACTATGGTTTTGTGTAATTTCCACTATTTCAAAATCAAGAAAACAAGTTTCAAATTTCAGAAATCAAATTTTTATTAAAATTTATTTATGATATTAATTAATTAAAGGGGGCGTATATTATCCGGGAGGGGGAGATGTAAGAAAAATTACCAACTTGACCCTTAGCCCAAGTATTATATTTGGTTATTTACTAAAATCGCCCTTCGGAGGGGAAGGTAAATATATTTAGGTCACATATCTATATAATTTAGTCACAAATTAATAATTTAGTTAGTCACTTATTAATTTTTTCATTATGTCACAATTCAAATTCAAAAATTCTATAAGTCACAATTTGTTCATCAGTCACAAATCAAAAAATTTATAAGTCACGATTTATTTATTGGTCACAAATACAAATATTATAAGTCACAACTTATTATACAGTCGCAATTATCAAATTATCAATCACAGATTAATAATTTTTTAGGTCACAATTTATATTTTTTATTGATCACAAATTCATCAGTTTGATGATCACAATTAACAAAATAATTTGTGACCAACACTTGCGATCACAACCACTGACCCGACCATGACCACCAACACCACTGTCGACCACCACTGCAAGATCACCGCGCCAGGCAGCAACTCGACCTATACCACCAATAAAAACAATCACAAACCTCAAAACCATCGCCACTGCACTCTACCCTCCGTCAACCCTGCAATCCCACTGCAAACACCACCACCTTAAAACCATCACTGTGCAACATCCCATCTCCACCCATCGCACCACCACCAGCTTTACTAGCACCTCTACCCATAGCGATGCAACAGAGGTACGACGTTAACTCCGACAGAGATGCAACAAATTTTGAACAGATGTCCCAATCCACAACCATTAACACCACATTCACCGTTGCCACATCAAATCGTCGACTGCGTCCGTTGAACCACCATCTTCCCACAATCATGAATCAATTTTCACCACCATCGCCACATCTATATCACATCTAAAATCAAAGCCACCACCACCACATTCACCATGGATATCCATCAAATCGCTAACTACAATCGTCAGACCACCGTCTTCCCTACAGTCGCAACTCGATTTCTTCAAATGGCTGCTGCCACCACGACCTCTAGCAACGGTAGGCGCAACGGTGCTACTACAATTCGCGGTGTTGCTCGATCGTGATCTTCCAGTGGCTGTCTTCCAGCGATGGAAGGTACAGAGGTCGTGAGAGAAAATGAAATATCTAATTTAGGGTTTAGTAGATATAGAAATATAGAGAGAGAAAATGAAAGGATGAATGAAGATGAATTTAGGGTTTGATAGGATGAATATGTATATTTAATTTTGTAATATAATTATTAATATTTAAAATATATTAATTAATTAATAAAATATCTTACTCTTGAAATAACAAACTTTACCTATGATTTATGAAATGTGATTTCTAAATCTATTAATTTATGTAATTTCGACTTTTATTTAGTGGAAAAGTAGATTAAAATGAGGGGAAAATTACCAAAACCCGACATATAAAGAATACTATTCATAAATAATGGAGATTAATTATAATTTCACATATCATATGGTAATTAAATTTTAGAATTAATTAATAAAAAATTAATATAATAATAGTATATCATTCAAATCTTATAAACATACCCAACCCGTCCACGCCTTAAACCCTAAACAATTTCCCTCCTCCCCCATTTTCTCTCTCTAGCGATGTCAACTACCCCACCCTCCATTCCAGCACCACTACAAGATAATTGGCAGCGTTGCAATACTGCAAGAAAAGTGATGCTATTGTGAGACTCTACCTAGGAGTGTCGCACGACCTTTGCCAGTAGCATCAACGCTGCTATATGTGAACGCACTTCTCCACGTCCTCTTCACGCTACAATTGTCTAGCACTATTCTCCACCTTCGACGAAGTCATGGACAAGTGGTAGTGAAGTTCGTATTTTTAGCAGTAGTGATGTTGGGGGTGATGGCGATCGCGATGATGACTATGTGTGATCAAGTCTATCTTCATTATAATTGTCTATAACCTGTGTTAAATGTAATTGCATGTGATCAAATTAAAAGTGATTTGATTACATACAGTCACAAATTACACTAATCTGGTCACTCTGAAGATAACTTTGATCACAGTTAATCATAGATGACCAGATCAGTGATTTGATTACATACAATCACAAATTAGACTAAGCTAATCACAGATAATCACTAAAGACAAATTTGATCACCATTATCACATATAACATAAGTCTGATCACAAGCAATAAATCTAACACAAATAACATAATTAGTCACAAATCTGGTCACCTACAATGCACCATTACTGCCACAACACTATATATATATATATATATATATGAGGGTGTTTGGTAGGAATTTTTATGTGAAAATGCATTTTTGAATAGTAAATTGATGGGAAATGTGTGGTTGAAAAATAAGAAAAAGTTTTTGATTTACGTGTAATATTATTTTAATAAAGAATGTGTGGTTGAAAAGAAGAGAGAGAAAAATGCATTTTGATAAAAATGGGTGCCAAACAGGGCCTATATATATATATATAGAGAGAGAGAGAGAGAGAGAGAGAGAGAGAGAGAGAGAGAGAGGTTTAGAATTTTTTAAGGTGGAGATATTCCCGAAGCATACAACAGCGTGCGTTGTGTGATTCTACTATATTTTTTGCACTTGACTAGGTGGACAGTTGATCGGAAGAGAACTTCGATTTGCCCAACCTCCTAAAAATGAGTGTAATTGTAATACTTTGCAAGATTATAAAATCTAGCTTCTATTGTAAAATTATGAAATAATTATTGATAAATTTTGTCAGGCTACTTGGATAAGTCTTAATTGCTTTTGAAAAATTTATATTATTC